GAAAATGGAAAATTACAGCAGGACAAAGGATAGATAATGAAGTTTGTAGAAGATGAGACGGGCCAGAGTAAACAGAAAATTTCTGAAAGAGGATCCTGACGATGAACGAGAGGCTCTAGAGTGACAAAAGCGAGAAAAGAGATCAGAAAACACGGAAGTGAAGAAAAGTAAGAGGCCAAATCTCATAATATTGATTATGTTTTTGGGTTTTAAAGTTATTTTCTTCACTATTTCCATACCCTCCTCTCTCATGTAGTCAATTTTATAATCTAAAGGGACAAGCCTCTCACTGGCTCCGGACCAAGCCCATCCTCACTGATCTTCCCTCTAACCCCAAAATTGCATCCAGAATAATTGCTAGTCTCCACTATTTTAAACGATATGATCACCATTTCCACAGGTTCCTCTCACCTCCACATAACATTTGAATTGCTCATACTTGATTTGAAGTTGTGTCATTGATTCGTATTATTATTGATTTCATCTTTGATTTTTAGTTATTCACCTAGTCACATGGACTTTTGCCCTTGTGTCCGTCTCCTTCGGTACTTTTTTTTTTTTTTTTAATGTCTTCCATCCACATGCCATCTAACATCCACTCTCATCCCAGGGAAGAGAGAAGACTCCCTGAGTGCTCACTGTCCAGATATCAATATCAAGACTTAGGCTCTTACATTCTATTTGTTTCTTGAATAGAGATGTAAGAGATGGCAAAAAGCAGTCATGGATACTTAGGATGAAAGGGATAATTAACCCTTTTTCCTCTATGTACTTTTTAAAGTCTGCGAAATATCTAAGGAGTAGAAACTTCATTATATCATAATATAACACAAGTACCATAACACAAATTTATAATAGCCTCATGTTTTTTAATTGTTGAGTTTTCTACATACCCTTTGCTAATTTCTCCCCAATGCTCTAAAAGATCTATAAAATTTGTGTGATATTTCTGTTCATATAGTCAAACCTAACAGATAATCCATCAATTCCATTTTTTCCCTGACAGTTTCTTTCTGAGAGAGCCCTTCATCCTTTGGGTCTGACGTAGGGCAGCTGCGTTCTAGGCTTGCTCCATAGCTGCTTTCCTGGGCTTCCTAATAGTTCTTCTATTCTATATTGGATCGTCATATCATCCAATAGCTTCCAGAGAAAGTGACCATGGTGGGGGGTGGGGTGGTAAACTTTGTGACACCTTATCTGTCTGCAAATATGATTTTTCTCTTATAGTTGATTGATAGTTTAGCTTGGTATGGGATTTTAAGTTGGAAATGTTTTTCTTTTAGAATTTTAAAGGCCTTACCCCACTGGCTTCTAACTTCCAAGTATTGCTGTTTATTAGAAGTGCAGTTTCCTCCTCCTCCTCCTCCTCCTCCTCCTCCTCCTCTGATTCTATGGATATGACCTGGGTTTTTTTCCCTATGTAAAGGACCTGTTTTCTACCACTCCATGGGTCAACCTCCACTTTCCTCCCACTTTCTGTGGTTCTACTACAGGATATTGGAGCCAGAATTCTAGCTCTACCTTTTTTTTTTCGACTTTCTCCTCCTCTCTTCTACTCTCTGGACAATTTCACTTTATCTTCTTATCCTTTCTATTGAATTTTGTATTTTACCTCTCTTGTTCACTGATTGCTCGTGTGTATACATATATAGCATTTCTGTTTTTGTTTCATGTACGTGTTTTCTTAGCTTTCCAAGAAATTTTCCTGTTTTTAAGTTTTCTTCTGCTTTCCACATTGTTTCCTCTCAATTTCTTTCCGCTTTTCTGGTTGTGTGTGTGTCTGTGCATGTGTGTGTTGTTGAAGGTTTTCCTCAAATGTTGGATCTTTGTCTATTCATATTTAGGACTGAAACACTAAAGCGGAGCTCACTGGAAACTGTATGTGCACAGATGGGGGTCGCTAATTGATGGTTTTCGTTCTAAGGTGGCTGGAGCAAACAGGTTTTCAATTAGGCACCCTCAAACATCAGGATCTGTAGATCACATTGCAGGGACTATTCAGTGTCTCCAGAGAAGAATTCTCCAGTCTCCTACCTGGGGAATATTTGCACAGCCACCACTGTTGAGGTTCTGGCAGCAAGGCAGGGGGAATAGGGTTGTGGATCTAACATTTAGGATGCATATTTCCACCCAGTCCTTCTGTTTTCCACTAAGTGCTCACCACTACCTTCAGCTGTGCCTGGTGTCCCTGAGTCGCTATTTTGCAGATTCACTTTCTCCAGAGAATATATACCCTCTGGTATCCTGCAGGGGGTTGTTGCCAGGCTAAAAAGGGTTGGAGAGGGGTATTGTGGATTTATCTGCTTTATATACAGACTTCTAAACAATTTGCTTGTTTTTGGCCCCGTGTCTTTCTCCTTCCATCTGGGATATCTGGTCCCTCCAGGTCCTGAACTTTTGGGGGGATGAGCGGAGTGAACTATTACTCTTGTTTATATTGTCCTCTAAGAGCATGTAAGTTCCAGCTTCCTGCACTCTGCTATTAATCCCCACTCTGTCTCTAAAAGATGACCTCTCTGACCCACTGTTGTTCGCGCTCCTGTTCTCCGTCTTTTGGGCTTTATATCATATTTATATAGTTATTTTCATCTGGTGGGATTTGGAGAGAAACATATGAATGTGTTCAGTCTTCCATGTTTGACAAAGAGTCTCCTCCATTATATTTTAATTGTTCTTAATCGAATTCTCAAAAAGTGATCCTAATTTTCATCTTGAGGTTAATTCGCTATTTTTATAAAGTCTCTTGTGTGAAAGTGGTTAATACAATAAACAAATAACTAAGCTGCTCTCCTACTACTGCAGTGTACAACAGCCTCTACTAAATCAGTTAAATATCTTCTTAAAAACCCACAAAACCTTTCTTGAGCCCACATTTCTCTTACATACTGAATTTCTTTGCTCCCTGTGGTAGGCACAAAAGTGATTCTCCAGAGGAATATTCACTTTCTAATCCCAAGAACCTGTGAATATTGCCTTATATGGCAGAAGATGTGATGGCATTAAATATCTTGAGAGGAGGAGCTTATTCTGGAATATATGGGTGAGTCCCAAATGGCAACGCAAGTGTCCTTATCTGAGGGAGACAGGAGATCAGACACAGACAGGAGAAGAGGAGGCAATGTGACCTCAGAGGCAGACACTGAAGAGATGCAGCCACGAGCCTAGGAATGCTGATAGCCAGAAGTTGGAACGGCAAAGAATGGATTTTTTCTAGAGCCTCTGTAGGTAGTGCGGCCTCTGCCAACACCTTGACTTTGGACTTCTGGCCTCCAGAACTGTGAGAGAATA